AACAAAAGTGACAACAGAAGGTAGAAAAAGCAAAGTCTCAGAATAAAAGGTATAAACAGGAGCATATATGAATTTCAGGGGTTGGTGGGGGCGGTTTGGAAGGGAGGGGGGAGTTTGACAAGTATTTGCCAATGGGAAGGAGAGACGAGGATTAAACGGGCGACAGATGTCCCTCAGAGGTACTCATTTCTAGTCTACTTCCCTGCTGCTTGATGGCCATTTTTTTTTACCCTGTATCTGGCGTTTCATACACATCAAGGCCTCTCTGTCATGCAGTTATCTTAAAAGTCTGGGCAAGTATGTTTTATGGATGCTGGCTTTCCATGATTTGAAAAGACTACATGTTTTATTTAGATTTCTCCTTTATCTCCAAAATTGCATCTTTGCTCCTGCTCTGCTTCTTTTTCAGATGCAATAAAATGGCCCCAGACAGCTATCTTATTCTCCATATCATTACTTTCTTTTTAATTAAACCCCTTGTAATCTTTATTAAAACCTAATAGAGCTTGGCTGTTTGTCCAATAGGATTTCCCATGTAAGAAACAATAAGGTAATTGAGGAAAATGTTTAGATTATACTTCTGAGAGAGAGAAATTGATGGTCAAACTGCTTTAAAAATGTTCAAGCAGGACAGACTTCTTGTTACAGCATATTTTACAAGAAATAATACATACAATTGATTTTTGCCCTTGAAATCAATGCAAACACATCAAAATTTTCTGGGATTTATACTTTGCCTGAATTAGTCAGCATCTGTGTGCAAGTTGTGTTTCATCACTGGCTTGACATTTGAGCTGTGTTAGTTGATTAATGACAGGACACACAAAAACACATGGCACTGGCTCCATTCCCTGTACAAAGGAGTGTGATGCTTATTATAACCATCAAGTTCTTGGTCCGAGCGACTGTCTAAGTAAAACTGAGTATCTGCCGTCTAGGAGTCTTTCAACTGAAAAGTCACTTCCCCTTGGCAGGTACTCTAGAACCATTCAATCGCAAATGAGCTTGCATAAAGGCCAAAGAGACCACACGTGCAAAGCCAAAGCAAATTTGTTACAAATTTTAAACCAATTTAAATTGGTTATTTAAAATGGACGATCTTTTACCTGGAAAATATTTTCAGAATTCACTTAGCTTGACTTTCAAAGCCTGTACAAAAGTCCTTATTATTGGACTTCACATTGCAGCCTTGTGGAAACCTTGATTTAAAACTAGCTTGAAATCTCTGCTTAGAATAGTAAAATGGCAGACAAAACGCCATCAGCTTCAGAGAGAGATGGATGGACCCCATGCTTATGCTAGGTTGCTTCTCAAAACACAGATATTGGCCAAACCGTATCATTTAATTCATAGATTAATTTCCAGCTCCTTGACCTGTTCCTGATCTGCCAGAGTTCCTGTATTTTCAAATATTCAAAATCCCCCTATTGTTTCAGTGAATACAGCCTTCACTCATGTCATGACAGGAACCAGTAAAGGCCCTAACCCCCAAAAGATGTAGGCATGTTTCTTAACTATGCCACCACAGTGGTCATATTAAGCTCATTCATAAAAGTGCGTAGGATCAATGCCAGAGTTTGCAAATTCAGTTTCAGATGCAAAACCTCTCAAGTTACTAAGCATTACTAAAATATATATATATATATATATATATATAGCAATATTAAAACTGAAGCATCTCATTCATCTGTAATTGCTTCAGAGAACTCCTAAATTGTGAAATACTTTCCTTCCTGGTGCTTGTAATAACCTCTTGAAATCTTGACACTGAAATGCACAGCCTATTTTTTTGCAGTGTGGTGGAGCCAGTTATGTATTGACCTTTCATTCTGTTTTTAGTTTAAAAAGAAAAATCTTTACCAAGGATTTACTTTCAAATTAATGAAAGTGTCCAACAACATTTGTAAGTGTTGAACATTTGTAATGGAGGAGGTAAAACATGTTTGGGGGGCTACATGTTTTCCAGATGATAGAGTTGTTTAATAAACTCTCTCTTAATATTGTGGGTACTTTGTTGATGAGGGTAGAAAAGGCTGTTCAGTAAAGCAGCATATTGCAAATTCTTTGCTGAAAACTGGAGTGTTGGGCGGGGGGAGGAAAAAAAAAAAAAAAAATCACACAATAAATTCATTTATTAAAAAGCAACCATTAACACTGGTCCTTTTTAAGTATTAGTAAAGTCACTGTCAATCTGAAATGGGACTGTATTGATGACCACAACAACTGTCAACCAAACCATATTATACAAAGATAAGAGCACGTACTATTATTCCGCCGGGATTTAGAAAGTTATAATCCAACTGGCCAACCAGAAGTTACAGTCCTTTGAACTTGCTATATTTTGAATCTATTCCTCAAAACTTCACTCTCGCCCTAAGCCACACAAATTCAGTGCCCGTGAGTTACATCAATGTCACTATGCAGTGCTGACATTTTTTCCTCTCTTGGTGCTCATGCAAAAGGTTTGATCGGGGGGGGGGGCTGCAGTTTAATTCTCTCACAGAGAAGGCTAGGATTGGGATTTTTTTGTCCCCTCTCTGCCCATAATTTTCATAATAGTGTAAGACAGTAGGAAAGGAATTTCCCAGCTGCATATGACCTGAGCTGCATATAAAACCAGTCCCGGTCTCCAACAACTCCAGCTGCTGCAAAGGCGGCAGCGAGATAACCCTGCCATTTTCACCGTGCCTCCAGCATTTGTTCTTATCGACCGTTTCTAGAAGCCTGAAACGGTCTCGGACCTACCTATTTTATCCCACTCAACCCCCATCTAGACCTGTCCATTTCCTCTCTCTCGCTCCTCGCCAAACCTGCCAGCTCCCGCCGGTGACAAATCCCTGCCGAAATGGTTTCCAGGGAGGGGGGCAACGCAGCTTCCTCACCTAGGTGCCTAAATCTGAGAGCAAAAGGGACCCGTGGAGACGCGAACGGGGACATAATAATGAGAAGAAGAAGAAAAATGGTCATTCCGCATCTCAGCAGGAGGGTGGGCCCTGCTGGACCGGGATGGGGCTCCTAAATCCCCTCCCAAAGCCACAGCGGAGAGAGGCTGCAGAAGCCCCCCGGGCGGGCGGCGCAGGGAGGACGCGGCAGGGTCCTTTCCCCGCGCCCGCCAGATGTTGCCCCCCCGCCAGATGTTGCGCAGGTGCCGCTCTGCGGAGACAAGCGCGGGGAGGGAGGGAGGGACCCCGCGAGCATCCCCCGCCCGGCGGCTCCTACCTTCCCTGGCTTTCAGCAGGACGGTGTTGGCCACGATGTTTTCCAGCTCCATGGACGGGCGGGCGGCAGCGGCGCCGCAGCGGGCTGGGCTCGGGCTGGCGGCGGCTCCGCAGCGGGGCGATGCGCAGCCTCCCGCCC